GGGTCTGGCTATCAAGCCCCATGGTGTCAGGCTCTGCGCTCAGTGCGGAGTCTGCTCCCCCTCCCCCTCTCCCTCTGCTTCTCCACCCCTCATGGATGCTCTCTCTCTTCCTCTCTAAAATAAATCTTAAAAAAAACCAAAAAACCACTTCCAGTACAATGAAATGTTGAAATTGCATAATTATTTAAAAAATTAAATATTTTTTATTTTTTAGACTTCGACCTGGTAACTATATTTTTTTTCCAGTTGTAGAAAAAAATCCATTTATGGTGGTATCATTGGTTCTTTTTGGAGCAGAGGCTGCCGGTCCTCCTCTGCCTTCAATTCCATGATTGTTTCTGTCTCCAGTAGGACAGTGAAAACAAACAAAACCCTGAATATCCCCTGACCCAAGATTCAAAGCAACTCCAAGGCAGAGAAAAACAGTTAATTCCAGTTTTTTAGATTTTTTTCATGATTTTTGAGAGAACAGAGTTGATTTGTATTTTGTTAAAATAAAAATATTGTTACTTGAACAAAGGTTAGTAATGCTCAGATGAAAGTGCCTTTTTAAATGTATTAGTTCATTATTTCTGAGTGAAATATCTGTGGAGGCATGAAAGAATTATGTCACAATAAGCAGAATATGTTTCAGGGTATGATAACCAGTTTTCATATTAATGATGAGAAGAGTGGATGGTGATTTGTCTCAGTGACTAGGCTGTTTGACTATCCAGTTTGTTTTTTTTTTTTAAGATTTTATTTATTTGACAGAGAGATAGAGCCAGAGAGCACAGGAGGGGAGTGGCAGAGGCAGAGGGAGAAGCAGACTCCCCGCTGAGCGGGGAGTCCGATGGGCGACTCGATCCCAGGTCCCTGAGATCATGACCTGAGCTGGAGGCAGACGCTTGACTGACTGAGCCCCCCAGGCGCCCCTTGACTATCCAGTCCTAAAAACTACTTTTTTTCATACAGAGTGTTGAAAAATCAGAACTGTTGCTAGCTCCAGTGGTTTCTTGCTCTTTCCATCTAAAGCAGGGCTTCTCAGCCTTGGCACGATTGACATTTGGGCCAGATTATTTGTCACGGGGCCTGTCCTGTGCGTTGTAGGCTATTGAGTGTCCTCCCTGTCTGCCACCATTGAATGCCAGGGTGGAAGAGTATGTTACAGAACCTGTGAGAGTAGAAACGTTCCCAGACATCGTCAGATATCCCCTGAGGGGCAAGGTCCCTCCCAGTAGAGGCATGACAGGCCCCAGGTAGAGGTGGGGTCTTCCTAGTCCTGAGTCAGGGGACGCCCCTCGAGGTGTGGGGCCTTGAGGAAGAGCCTTTGCTGGTCTTTTCCAATGCGGACCCCAGGGGCAGGGATTGAAAGATGCTCTATAATCAGTTGCCTAAGTGCCCTCAAAAGAATATTCCACTTGACCTTTTTTTTTTTCCCCCTTTTGCCTGATTGGTATCTTTATTCAACTCCCCTGTCCTGATGAAAAAAAGGTATTTCTATCATGCCACTCAGAGGATGGTCTGGAGTGGTATGTTCTTTGGAACCCTCGTTCTAAAGGATGGTGACTAGATAGTATGTAAGTAGGGATCCTAGGGGAAAAAAAGTTTGGGAAATATTGGTTTAAATAAAGGTAAACTGTTTTCTTTATTTTGTAGGGTTTTTGAAAGCTTTTAATATCAGTGGTAAATTATGGCTCTCCAAAAGGAGCTAGAGTGGGCCTCTGTCAAAATTTTCTGAACATGAAATTCCTTCATAAAGCATTTTCTTTTTTTTTTTTAAAGATTTTATTTATTTATTTGAGAGAGAGAATGAGATAGAGAGAGAGCATGAGAGGGGAGAGGGTTAGAGGGAGAAGCAGACTCCCCGCTGAGCAGGGAGCCTGATGTGGGACTTGATCCCGGGACTCCAGGATCATGACCTGAGCCGAAGGCAGTCACTTAACCAACTGAGCCACCCAGGCGCCCCTCATAAAGCATTTTCTAGAGAAAGAATGTTCTATGGGATGTATTTGGGAAGCATTGTTCTAAAGGCATTCAGAAGGGGCTGGTTCTGTGGGCCAGGGTGCTGGTAAGGAGCAGGTGGTGGGGTAAGTACTAAGCTGACATAATGAATGGAGAGTGTCATGATCTGGTCTCTGCACACACCAGAATGGCCGTCCATGCCGGTTATTAGAATAGTGAAAGACTCATATTCTGGGTGGTAAATGGCTACCCTGAGCCTCTTGAGTGCTGCCCGCTCCCACCTCCACCCTCCACCTGGCCCTTTGCCCAGCACTCCCCAGACCTCTCCTCTCTCCAGAACTAAAAGGTTCATGCCTGGGTCAACAGGGGCCCCCTCCGTAGTACCTTGCTCCAGTATTATGGGCTGTGTCTTTTCTGGTTGGTTGTTGACCACGGTGCACAAGTGGCTAACATTTTGCACATCATCCTGGGCTTGAGGGAGGCAGTCAGGGAAAGTAAATGGAAAAGGAGTCTAAAACTTTTAGTCAGAAATATCCTCACACTCGGATTGTTCAGCCTTCTATATACCAGGCTCCTATTTGCTGGCTAGCATGAGAGACTTAAAATACTCACATTGACCTAAGACAGTGATAGTACACTATTGGATATAACTGCTCTTTGAAGAACCAAACAAATGCTGAGCTTTACACTGTATGTTAAAAGTTGGTAGAACAGAGTTTTGCAGTTCAAAGAAAGATTATTCCCACAGTCTCTTTCCTTGTCTAGGAGATGGAAGTCTCCGGGGGATCGAGTCATTTGATTGGGTGTGACCAGGGGGCCCATCCATGGGGAGGCGTGTTTCTTGTAAGGGGTCTGTGGAGAGGGGTGACAGCCAGCCTCAGCCCGTCCACTTCTGTTACACTCATATCGGCATGACTTTGGGTGTGAACATGGTGCCGGGCAGATCAGTCTTCATAAAGAAGAGCTAGCAGTAGACACAGCTGCCAAGAGAATACCAGTCACCAGCTGAATGAAATTGAAAACATGTACAGCGTTCGTTAAAGACAAGGAGGAAGGCTGGTCTGTTCGTTTAAATCTGAAATGGGTACTTCAGATGGTATTCATGTTGCTCAGCCTGTTAGTTCCCAGAAACTGATTAATGTTTTTAATGTCTGTTTTTATTTAATGTCTGTTTTTTGGAAATTTTGGAAATTTTAATGTCTGTTTCTGTGTTTATTAATTATAAAAGAAACTACCAAGGTATTCTTTCAGGAGCTTAGATGGGGAAAATTTGAATATATGTCCAAAGCTATAAGAACCTTGGTTTTTATCAGATAATAATGCAGAACGAGACGTGTTGAACTTTAGCTGCTGACGGGAGAAAGATAAGCTGATTAACTTGCTTGAAATATTTGTGAGTTTTTTGTGATCATGGGTAATAAATAATGATTGAATAACCCTAACTGAAAGTTGACCTAAATTATAAACTAGTTATTTATTTTTACTTATACAATAGTATTGAGCAAGTGAACAGTCTGCGGGAGATACAAGCACTGAGGCGCCTGAATCCACACCCTAACATTCTTATGTTGCATGAAGTGGTTTTGTAAGTATACTTGGGGCTTTACAAATTATCTCAATTTGATAAGAACAATTAAATCTCTTTTTAAGAAAGAAAACTGTGATTAGACGTTTAAAATATTTGCTTTGTGGCTTAGGGAGTAATAATTTTCGTTTTATCTTAAGTCACATATGTATTTACTTGGACAAATGCGTAACTGATTCCTACTGTGGAAGTGCTTTCATTTAGGTGACTCCGTATCACAAGAGCATACAGAATTCAAACGGCTCCTCCTGTAGCTCAGGGAGGCTTCCCTGGAGACAGTGGCCTGGGCGGGCGAGGCCTCGAGTGTGGATGGCAGCCTCCTGGGAGAGGACTGGTGTCACCTGGCTAGGGCTGCCCCTGCTGTATCCCCGCCAGCTGGTCTGCCTGCACTGTCTCAGGCAGTGAGACCTGCTGCCTTCCTGTGGTTGATGTAATCCAGGGGACTTTTCATTTCTCTTCTAATTCTAGAAGAGCCTCCCTAAGGCTTAGCTGCCGATCAAGGAGGCAGAGCACAGCTCGTCCCCAGGTGCCGGCAGTTCTGATCTCTGAGCCAGGAACTCGGACCCAGCATCCTGGGACCGGCCTTTCTGCAGCCCCGAGAAGGTGCACGCTGGATGAAGCCTCTCTCAGGCTCTCCAGGCTGCTTTAAACCCAGCCAGGTCTCTGACAGTTCAAGTGCGGCAGGTTTTCATCAGAGGTTGGAGCCGTCTTAAACTCAGGGTGGAATGTCTTGTCACAGCTGCGTGGCCTCCCGGCCTGCGGTGCCCTAAGAGGTCAGTGCGGCTGGGGCCGGAGACTGCAGGCCGAGGCCGTCACTGCCTGCGCGGCCCGTGCTTCACAGGCGCCTCTTCCCCGGGACGGTGCGCGGGGCTCCTGACTCACCGTCGGTGCCGGACGCGCCCTGAGCGGGGGCCGGAGCACCACGTTCTCCCCGCCCGGGTCGTGCCAGCTCGGCCAGCGGCCTCTGTCCCCACCCCGGGCAAGGCCTGGGCACCACATGGGTGTGGTGTGACCCGTCTTTCTCCCTTTTCCCCTGACTGCTTTGTGGATTTTGTTCCCCCATTATAATTTATCCCCGTTACATGGAAGGAATTTAGGTAAATTAAAACTAAATTTGCAGTCACGGAGCATGAATTAAATTCTTTTTCCTCTGTGTTGCTTAGCCAACTCCTCAACCTCATTTCTCCTTTCTGCTGGTAGTTAATTTTATATTTTTAAGACACATCTCATTAAAAAGAGGGGAAGTGTTTAGAATTTTTGCTTCAAGTTAAGGTTTTACTGTTATTTTAAGTGAATTTTACCTGAAGTACTGATTGAAAATCACAACTTCTGTTTCAGTCAGGACACTTCAGCCTTTGATGCGGGAGTGCTTTATGTCTACCAGAAATGTTTACAAATGAATTAAATATTTGATTATATTTTCTGATTACGACAAGACAAAACATTTTGACAAACCTGCTTTCTTCTTCAGTGACAGAAAATCTGGTTCTCTTGCACTAATATGTGAACTTATGGACATGAATATTTATGAGCTAATACGAGGTACGTAGAATAATTTGCGAGCTAATCTAAGATCTCCTCTTAAAGCTTGTAGTTCACACATACTTTGTTTTCCTTCTCAAAATCGTTAGCCACCAGAGTGCAGTAGTTACATATAAATATACGGTACTGAGCTACTTCACGCTTGGGAGGTATTTTTCTGGCATTCTCGTCTACTCCAAACGGAGGGCTGCCAATGAGAAAAGTAAAGCCGTATGCCTTCAGGCTGGCTGGTGAGGCGGGTGAGGATGGCTCCCAACGCAGAGCCAGCTCAGGCCTTCCCCACCTCGGGTCCCTGCAGGGGGCGCTCTGCCCTTCCGGGGTCAGCCTCCGGGTCCGGCTGCTGTTAACGTTCTGTTCTGGCCTCAAAAGAAGGCAAGGCTTGCCCCCAAGCATAATCCCTCTGAAGAGAGACGACCTCCTTCTATTTGGATTCTCACAAAGTCTCTCCCGGGGGTTACAGGGTGCTCACTTACTTTCTTCTGAACAATAAAGCGCTGTTTAGGAAAGCACACGCGCCTGAGCCAGCCTCTGTCGGGGCTGGTTCTGGAGGCTGAGAGGTCACCTGAAGAAACTAGAGAAAAGGAGGCAGATGGCCCACATTTAGTAAATATCCCTGGGGGTCTGGCTGTACAGTTGTGTTAGATGTCAGGACAAATGAGCCTCATAGATGTCACTGGGAAACGGCACCAGATGTGTGGTATTTTATAGATCACATTGTGCTTATTGGACAGATGAAAACAGATCAGCTTCTCCGTGTTCTGTGAGTGACTGACTAGTTATGGCCGGAATAGAATTTTAGTGGCAGAAGCATAGATGATTTAAAAACTGCTGTATTATCTGAAACAATTCAGGCCAAACCGAAGATGGTGTGCTATGTAAAATTTTTAAGACCAAGAAGCTATTCTTGTGAGGAAGAAGACACTGATGCTGCAGATGCACGTGAAGAGCTCAAATAAAATTGTTATGATGTGGGAAAGTGGAAAAAAGCTGTGTTATCAAACTAGTATTTTTTACATGTGATTTGAAATGTGTGCTTCAGTAAATTACTAATAAAATAAGTAGCATAGATAGGCAAGTTTTTCTACATCTGTAGACGTTGATGAAAAACTTTTGGATCTAAAAACTTTAGGATCTTTTTGAGAAAATAGGAGATTGCCTTATATCTGGGAATAAATGGTATTTATGTTACAGACCTTGTGCATTTTATTCATAGGTAAGCCCATCACTCAGGGATCTGTTTAATTGTGTTTTAAGTCCAATTCTAACAAAGTTAGTTATCGGGTTTCTTGGTTTAAAACCTATTAAGAATAGAGCTGTTGGTTAGAAGGAGCTTCTAGAACTTGGCCCATCAGCAGTAACAGAAAGTGACAGGTGACAGTCCCTGGTGGGCGAGGAAACTGAAAATATAAAACATGACAACGCCAGCAGCAACGCCACCAGAAGCGAGAGCAGGCTGGGCAGGCAGCCCCCAGGGTGGGCTAGAGAACGCCCAGCCGTGTGGTGGATGGTGGTCAGCATGCCATGGCAGTAACGTGACGGAAAAAGTAGGAAACTGAAGAAAGAAAATGTTTTGAAGAGATTCCCACTTATAGTGATGGCAGTAGAGAACAGTTTCACATTCAAGGAGTAAACCTTTTTGATCTGGAAATTTTACTTTTTAAGCATCTATTCCCAACAGTCTGGATAAATGAGGTGTTGTTCCGTGATTACATTTTCTCATACATTCTGTCTGACACAGATCGTTCCCTTTAATCCTGTCTGTACGTCTGTCCATCAGAGTGTGATGATGTGCTTGGATGTCACAGCAATGTTGAATTGCCATAAAAGTTCCCGGTTGCTCTTAGTTTTGTCATCTCTTAAACCAGTAACAAACAGCCCTGGACCAGTATCAGTTCATGGACTATGCTTTTTAGAAGGATGTTTCTGTTTAAAGAATGTTTTAAAGAGTGAATGGGCCATAGGTGGACGTATTGGTCATCTCTTCCAACTGCAAACAACAGCATCTATTCTCGCCAGTTTAACCCCAATGGATGTATGGATATGGATGGCTTCACAGAGTCGCTGGGAGACGCTGAAGAGACGCTCTGGATGTGGCATCCCGGAAGCAGCTTCTGAAAATGATTCTGCAGGATTGGGCTGTCAAGGAGGCTACTGCCTCTGCACAGTCAGGAAGCCGCCTTCATCACCGTCTGCACTCACACTGGATGCTCTCCCTTCTCTTGTCTGCCCCCGTAACTCGGGCCTGAATCCTCTTTCCTGAGTGGTCTGATTTAGGCAGAACCCAATCGCATCTGCAGCTCCCAGCTACAAGCAACCCGAAGAACATTGCTTTGGACTTTCACACTTAGCCTGCGAGATCGGGGTTGGGATGGGTCTGCACTGTGAGCCGTGAGGGCAAGAATGGTGGTGGGGAGACCAACAACGAGGTGGCGAGGGTGTTTTGCCCGCTGCTCACTTGGGAAGAACCTTGGAAGGGGGTGAGTAGCTGGCATGCCTGGGCACCAGCCACACCACCAGCAACCCTAGTTGGTTTATTTGGGTGCATTGTGCCTATGGTGCCTGGCATCTGCCACCTACAGCAGAAAAGGCTGTCTTGAGTTTAGAGGAAAAACTGGTTAAGATAATAATCTGACTATAGAGGCATCTATTTGATTTTTTAAAGTTTTATTTATTTACATAATCTCTGTACCCAATGTGGGGCTTAAACTCACGACCCTAAGATCAAGAGTCGCACACTCTTCCCGCTGAGCCAGCCAGGCGTGCCCCCACCCCAAGAGGCATCTATTATTTTAACTCATACCTGATTCTGTTTTTGTTTTGTTTTTTAACTGTTTCAAGTTAAATCACTTTGCTTTGTGAATGGCTAGGTCACTGTGCCCCCACCCTCCGGTGCCTGCTTTAGAGCCTTGGTGGCTTGCTCCCTCACCACCCCTTCCCGCCCCCGCTGCATCTCCCTCTCCTTTCCATGTGTCTGCTTCCTTATTGTTTGTCCCACTCTGTCCACCGGGCTGTTTGCTCTCCGGCAGCGAGGCCTTGTTGGCTCCGTCCTCGGTGTGCTCTTAGGGCCCAGCACTGTCCCCTGTGTGGCCCAGTGTTAGTTGTCCAGCAGTTGATGGTTACAGATATGGGGTATTGTAGGTGGGTTTTATCGCAAGGAGCACGGGCCATTCAGGTAGTTCCCATACGAAAGAGGGAGTTTATGGTAAAACTTCACATCTCCTGCCGGAAGCTCAGAACCAGGAAAGGTCTGGCTGTCAAGGCCACCGCTGACCCCCCCGGCAGAGCCACGTGGTCCCCCGCCTCTCCTCCTCTGCTCATCCCTCCCCTCTTCTCTTGGCAGACGGGGCCGCTCAGACCCTGGGAGCCTCCACTGGCAGCAGATGGGCCAGGCCCAGCAGTCCCGGTCATTGGCCCCCTGCTGGACTGCTGGCTGTCGCAGGTCCAGTGGGCCGGCCTTGTCCCCTTAGGGTTGTACCTTTCAGAGGCTGTGGGTGGCGTGGGCACCCTGAAGTAAATCCATGAATTGGGGAATGAACCAAGTAGGAAAAAGCAAAACAAGTGTGGTTTGACTGTAAATGTAGCATTACAGTTCCATATCTGTGAGGAGCTTAGGCGGTGTGCCTTCTGCAACATGACTGGTGTGCCTAACGTTACCGTCGTCAGATCAGTTTAGTTGTGTTTTTATATTTCATGAATCTGACCTACTGATTGTAATTTTTATATACTAACAGAAGAGGAAACACGGCCAATCGCCTCTGACACATAGCTTTCTTATCTACTTAGCAATTTTACTTCTGTCCTTACTAAAAGAGCTCTTTGGATCTCTTTAGACAGTTTCCGCCCAGATCACTTTCGTATGTATATAAAAAAGGAAAGTGGAAATGAAATAAATCTGTTTTTGGCATTCCTAACACTTCCTTGAAACATTTTGACACAGCGATCGATGTCTTTATTTTCCTTGTGCGATAGGTCTCTGTGCCATTCAGACAGGGTGTGAACGATGCAGCCTTTTTGTTGCTGGAATTTTCTTCCAAGCCCGTGCCACCATCCTGTTAGTTTTGATGCTGTTGCTTCTGGAAGTGTGGCTGCAGTTTGGCTGTGTGGCCGCAGCACAGAGTGCCCTTGTCCTGCATGTCTGAGGATGGCAGTTCTGGGTCAGGCCCGTGAGCCTTGGTCCTTGTCTGTGAAATGGGAATGATCCTAGTGTCTAAGTCTTCAGGTGGTTGTGAGGAGTCAGTAAAGTAATGCGTGCCATGTTTAGACCAGTGGCCCCTTGCACAGTCTTCAGTACACGCAGATTGCTGTCCTCCTTCTCATTAGTATTATGTTAACCTTGCTTAGTGCATGTGCTCTGCAGGACCACCTGGGCTTCCTGTCCCGTGTGCTCGCCTCCGTGGTAGAGGTGAGGAAGTGGAACTTCACAGACGTTCCAGCACTTGTTGAGGATGAACTGGTTTCATAGAGCGGAGCTGGAGGACCTGTCCTTGAGCTTTGCCATGGTTGAAAGGAAGGGGTGCGGGGGTGGGGGATGGCTCAGGCTCCAGCTCCAGCTGAGGCTGACATCCTGCCTTCTACCCCCCGCAGGGCGGGGTCTCTAACCTCAGATCGGTGTGCCATAATGCGGACTTCTCCTTTGGAAGATGCTGTGGCAAGTGTGTGCATGCCTGGTGCCATGGGCACAGCCTCTGGGCCAAGGTGTGTGTGGTAGACCATTTATTTGATGTGCCATGCTGAACCTCAGCATGGCCCTCCAAGCCTGAACGGGAGAGCCTGGCACAGGCCTGCAGATGGGGTCTCTTGTGGGAAGAGGTGTGTGTGAGATACTCTGTTACGGTGCAGACTACCCTGGTGGCCACATTCCTTCAGTTAGTCCCAGCAACAAATGCTGCAGTTTATCATTGTGTTCCTGGAAATATTTTTTACATTTTGGGTATTGTATATGACATTGTGTAGAATCTTCTAAACGAGGATATTTGGTTAAAAAATTAGCTTGCAAAAACTAACTTGGTCGGGAGGCGCTGTTCACGGTCTGTTGGTGTTTAGGAAGACTTACACAGGAGCTTATGAGTGGTTTATTAATTCTCCTATTTGTTTCAAGATGTTTGAGAACAAGAATCTGTTAGGAACCAGATAGAGTCTTGGGCCTGGAAAGTTAGGATCTTGTTTTTGAAAAACCATTGGAGAGAATGGGTAGGCAACCCCCTCTTGGTCAAGGGTGTGGACTCTGCGATTATTCAGACCAAGGTCCCACACAGTTCACACTGCACCTCACTCCCTCAGGAGCCCCCACATGTAGGCAGAGATTCTCACGGAGGGGCATGGGGGCGGGGGAGCCACGTCCTTACCTGCAGGGCCATGGGTGGGTGTGTGTCGGGGGAACAAGGAGGAAAGGAAGGGTCAGCACCTAAAGAGGCTCTCCCGCTGGGGACTGAGGGCAGCCGAGAAATGCAGATTCCTGGCCCATATATTTGGTTTTGTGATTCATTAGGTCTGGGTTTGGAGCTGGGAATTGCCTTTTTATTTTTATTTATTTTTTATTTTTTAAAAGGTTTTATTTATTAGAGAGAGAGAGAGGGCGAGAGCACACACGCACGGGCAGAGGGAGAGGGACAAGTAGACAATTCTGAGATCATGACCAGAGCCTAAATCAAGAATCAGAGGCTTAACCAACTGAGCCACCCAGGCGCCCCATGGGAATTGCCATTTTAAAGCATCCCTAGGTGATGATGATGATTAGGTGGGTTAGACTTTCCCTAAAAGACTCCACCTTCCTGAGTGCAAGTTCAGATGACTGTCCTGACCAGCTTATGCTGTAAGGTCTGGGTGGCTGGGAAGGGTGCTTCTAGAACAGAATGGCCTGAGCATAGCCATGAAGCAGGAGAGCTTTGGAGGCATGTGCAGATGAGCATCCACAGGTGAATGTGTCTAGAGCATTCAGTAAACAGGGATGTGGTGGGCGTGCTTCTCAGAATGAGGGTCCAGGCCTGGCAGCCACACCTGGAAACTTGTTCCTAAGGCAGACCTGCTGGACCCCAAATGCCTAGGGGCAGCGGGGGGGAGGGGGGCATCCTGTGTCTTCACAAGCCCCCAGGGGATTCAGCTGTCCCTGGAAACTGAGAGCCCCTGGTTGGGAGGAAAGGGTTCCCGAGTGCCAGGCTAATTCAGTGGGCAGTGAGACCCCATCACAGGACAAGAACCAGATTTCAGGAAGCTTCATCCAACGGCACATGTGATGGAGAAGAGAAATTTTGCTTTCTTTTCATCTTTGCACAGATAGGAATTCAATATAAAGTTACAGAATTACTCAAGTTAGGGAAAGATGACTAAGTCTTCATTTAATTCTTTTAAATTCTAGAAAGTGGGTGATAAATTATTTGAAACAATAAAAAGATTACAGTATTATGAAAAAGCTAATTGTACTTAGACATTTTGTAATTTAAATTACTTTCTATTAACAGAAAACATTCCTGGGGCACCTGGGTGGCTCAGTCGCTTAAGCATCTGCCTTCGGCTCAGGTCATGATCCCGGGGTCCTGGGATGGAGCCCTGAGTCGGGCTCCCTGCTCAGCGGAAGCCTGCTTCTCCCTCTCCCACTCCCCCTGCTTGTGTTCCCTTTCTCGCTGTCTCTCTCTCTGTCAAATAAATAAATAAAATCTTAAAAAACAAAAAAACAGAAAACATTCTTGTCTAGTGAGAGAAAAAGAATAAATTTATTTGTCAACAGAAATTGCAAACTTAGGAGCAAAAATGTCAAATAGGATATGTGCTTACAGAGGGGAAAGTGGTTTTCTGGATTGTTAGGAGAGAATGGTTGTTTTTCAGATTTAAAACTTAATAAAAATGCACACCTTTGGAAGTTAAAATCAAGTAAAATGTGACATCTTCTGAAACAAGGATAACCGTGATGCTGGAGTGTGGTGTTAAGAGTTGTAGGACGTAAAACCCCACAGGCAGCCAGGCCTGGTGAGTGGGTGTGCATGAGCAGACGGAAGCCAAACGATGGCTGCTTCCCCTCTGAGGAGAGTGGGCTGTGAAATGCAAAGCAATCCTGGGTCTTCTTCCATTACAAACACACTTCTGTGGAACTGTGATCCCTCCCCCTCTAAAATGGAAATCTCCAGGGGCACCTGGGTGACTCAGTTGGTGAAGCATGGACTCTTGGTTTCGGCTCAGGTCATGATCTCAGGGTCATGTGAGGTGGAGTCCGCTTGAACCTGTCCCTCCTCCCACTTGCACTCAAGCATGCTCGCTCGCTCTGTCTCTCAAATAAATAAAATCTAAAAAAAAAAAAAAAAAAAAATCCAGACTGGAAGCTGAGGAAAATCCTGGATTTTCAAGTGACTCCTGACACTTCATAATCAACAGTTCGAAAGGGCGTGTTCCAGAAGGCCTGCGCTGGTGGTGGTGGTGGGGGGTGCTCGAGTGGGGTTTATCAGACCAAACTACTCTAGTGCTTATTACTTAGTACGACTGTAGTGATCAGAATGCATGCATGGGGGATTTTACATGAAATCATGCCAGTATGTAGAATTTTAAATGGTGTATTTAGTATGTACACTCCATATTTCCTGAAATTACTAAAGGTTGTTTTTTATTTTATTATTTTTTTATTTTTTTAAGATTTTATTTATTTATTTGAGAGAGAGACAGAGGCAGTAAGAGAAAGTAGGAGCAGGGAGGAGAGGGAGAAGCAGACTCCCTGCTGAGCAGGGAGCCTGATGTAGGGCTCGATCCCAGGACCTTGGGATCATGACCTGAGCCGAAGGCAGACGCTTAACGACTGAGCCACCCAGGCGCCCCACTAAAGGTTGTTTTTTAGATTTTCACACATCATTAAATAAAATTTTTGGATTCTATTTTTGTTTTCAAAAAATGGGATATGTATCATTGGTAACCATATTTGGCAATATCCTTGATTGCACAGGGAGAAGACACCCATTGTCAGAAAAAAAGATTATGCACTATATGTACCAGTTATGTAAATCCCTTGATCATATGCACAGGTATGCTGTTGGAGACTTGGCATCTCTCAAATTGATAAAACGTATTAACATTCATTAAAAATTCAATGTAAAAGAATTTGAATGAGGCACAAATTAATTTTATCCTTCCTTTTATATTGAATGCAGAAGTGGAATATTTCACAGAGATGTAAAGCCAGAAAATATATTAATAAAGGTAAGAACTTCCATAAAAAAAAATATCAGAAGAAAGGTAGAATGGGAAACCTTTTTACTAGATAGGCTTTCAATCCCAGATAGTTGGGCACCATGTTTGTTATGCTGTTGTTTTCTCCCAGTTGGAAAAAGTGGTTTATTTAATAAGCGCCATCAACACAACTGTACATCTGAAAGGAAATTATCTTAGGCACTCTTCTCTTACTATAGGCAAAAATAAACCCCAGGGGCGCCGGGCTGCTTCAGTCAGTGGAGCGTGTCACTTTCAGGGTCATGAATTCAAGCCCCATGTTGGGTGTAGACACTACTTAAAAAAAATAATAGGTAAATAAACTCCATTCATATTATCCCTCCAAACACTGTGCAAGTGAAAGTAGAAGAGTCAGGATTTGCGCTCAGGTCTGTCCCAGTCCGTAGCCAAGTCAACTGTACATACTTGAAGCCTGCAGCCCAGTAAGTTTGGGAATATGTACACACACACGAGGCTGTTGTCACAGCCGAGCAAGCAGACCTCTTGCCCCAGGAAGGTTCCCCATGCTCCTTGGTCATCCCTCCTGTC